TTTTATTTTATTTTTTTACAGTCATGGTTGATTGCATTCCACCTAAATAAGTACAATCCAGGCAGATGCTATAAACCCAAATCCTGCAGAGTAGTAAATTTTATTCATGAACATACACATAGCTGTCAGAACTAAAGTCTTTGAGTGTTTTACAATAGAGACACAAGCTAGAAATAAGGCTGACCAAGATCAGGAGTATAGAATGCTGATCTTATGGAAATCTCAGGAAAGGGCAATGGGTGCACTCACTCAAAACTTTGGACAGCAGAACAACAAGAATGAACCACATTTTCTGCCACCCTGTCTTGGAATCCATAGAAATGATTGGCTAATGCAGCTTATTTGTTCATATTGAGATTTGGTAACCTTATTTTGAAATTTTTTTTTCATTTTTACTTCATCCTCTAAAGTACTGTATTTTTGTATATTTTGTATATTTTTTGATATATATCATAATAGCACAGTCACTGATATAAAAATATAAAAAATATAGAATAATATAAAAATATTTTTAAAAATTTCAAAATAATTTTCTGGGATTTTAACTCACAGGACAAAAATCCATAGTGGTTTCATGAAGTTGTTATCAGTGATTTATTTTAAACTATGATAATTGAATATGGGAAGAACCATTCAATCATCTCTGTCTTTGATTTTTATTAGGTATGATAAAAAACTAATTCATGGGTAAAACTGATAACTCTTATATTGTTCTGTTTTGTTGATATTTTGTTGTGTTGCATTTTGTTTTATATTTTCTCCATGTAAAATTTGCAACAAATTGATGAAAAAGTTATAATGTTTAATTTAGTAAAAAAAAATGGGTAGCACAAGTAATAAATCTTATCTTTGTGTAAACTTCAATAACTATGATAAATAAAACCACAAATGCACGGGTTAGGTTGCTTCTTGCAATCTCATCACATTCTTTTACCAGTTTCTCAGGACTCCTAGCCCTCCTTGTTTGAAACCTAACAGGAGAGTTCAAGAATCAAACATAAACATAGTAGAGATTAATTACTTTTTTACTTGTAGGTTAATATATATTGTTTAATTAGTGTTTTCAGCACCATAGGTGAGTATCTTATGCAATAGCATTTCCATATCCCATTTTTAAGGGCCTTATATAAGTTTATTTAACAAAAGGCACAATCCTCTCTCTATTTGCAAGACCTGTTTGTAATTCTGTTTCTGTCAATGAGAGCGATTAGAATTCAATATGGAAACTTACTAGCTGAAGTGTCTCTGCAGTCAATCCTTTACAAAACTGAAGATCCATTTTACCTGTTTAGGAAATACAGATTTTCTTAGGGCTGATTTCCATTCCCTTCACTCTTTCAATTAAGAATTATGGGGTCCTTAGGATCCACCGTGACACCCTGCTCTCTTTCCTCTCTTGATGCCACCCTAGTCAATCTGAATTTTCTGTTTTTGAACTCTGTTGGCTAAAGCAGGTAAGACCACTGAATTTGAGTGAGAAAGAATGGGGCAATGTAGTCAAGGGGAAGGGGATACTTCAGCAGCCTCCTAAAAGAATCTCTAAAGGAGGTCTGGCGCCGGCGAAGAAACCAAGAGAAGGCTGGAACCGGGATCGGGACCAGAGTTTCGCTCCTTGCTGAGCGGCACCCAGGGCCTAGTGGGCTATGGGGGAGCCTGCTTCCTTGGTCACTGAAGACCAAGCCAGTGGCCGGAGCTGGTGCTTGAGGCGGGTGGGGATGAATGCCGAGTGGCTGTTGCTGGAGGACGGACGTGAGGTGACTATAGGCTGAGGATTTGGTGTCACATACCAACTGGTATCAAAAATTTGTCCTCTGATGATTTCTCGCAACCACTGTGTTTTGAAGCAGAATCCTGAGGGTCAGTGGACAATTATGGACAACAAGGGTGTTTGTTCTGAAAAGGCAGAAGGTTTTGCAGCAGCAGAGTCTGAATGGTTGAACAGAGAGCACCTGGAACCATTAAAGCTTTATTTCATCCATAAGGGAGACCACATCCAGCTTGGGGTGCCTCTGGAAAATAAGGAGAATGCAGAGTATGAATATGAAGTTACTGAGGAAGAATGGGAGAAAATTTATCCCTATCTGTCCCCAAAGAGTGACCGGATGAATGAAAAAAA